AGGAGCGTATCCTGGCTCCGTGGGGCACATCCCGATCCGTGTCCCGCTCCCGCAGGTGCGGCTGTACGAGTGGACGGCGGAGAAGGAGCTGCGCACGGAGTGCAACCACTACAACAACATCATGGCCCTCTACCTGAAGACCAAGGGGGACTTCATCCTGGTGGGAGACCTGATGCGCTCTGTGCTGCTCCTGGCATACAAACCCATGGAAGGGAACTTCGAGGAGGTGTGGGAGCGGTGCCGGGAATGGGGGGGAGGAAGGGAGGATTTGCGGGGATCCCGGTGGGATGGATCGTCCAGGGAGGAGCAGGGGTGGGCTGGGATGGGATAGAACCTTCTGGAAAGCTGGGGGAGTGTTCCCAGCTCTTGGGAGCAAGGGGAAGCTTTGGAAGCTTCAGGAAAGCTGGAGGAGCCTTCCCAGAGTGGGGATAGGAGAAGCTTTGGAAGCTTCAGGAAAGCTGTAGGAGGAGCATTCCCAGAGTAGGAATAAGAGAAGCTTTGGAAGCTTCAGGAAAGCTGTAGGAGGAGCATTCCCAGAGTGGGAATAGGAGAAGCTTTGGAAGCTTCAGGAAAGCTGTAGGAGGAGCATTCCTAGGGTGGGAATAAGAGAAGCTTTGGAAGCTTCAGGAAAGCTGGAGGAGGAGTATTCCTAGGGTGGGAATAGGAGAAGCTTTGGAACTCTCAGGAAAGCTGTGGAAGAGCATTCCCAGCTCTGAGGAGCAGCACACTGGGAGCAGTGGAAGCTTCAGGAAAGCTGGAGGAGCATTCCCAGGGTGGGAGTAGGAGAAGCTTTAGAACTCTCAGGAAAGCTGTAGGAGCATTCCCAGGGTGGGAATAGGAGAAGCTTTGAAAGCTTCAGGAAAGCTGGAGGAGCATTCCCAGAGTGGGAATAAGAGAAGCTTTGGAAGCTTCAGGAAAGCTGGAGGAGGAGTATTCCTAGGGTGGGAATAGGAGAAGCTTTGGAACTCTTAGGAAAGCTGTGGAAGAGCATTCCCAGCTCTAAGGAGCAGCACACTGGGAGCAGTGGAAGCTTCAGGAAAGTAGGGAGTAGGAGAAGCTTTAGAACTCTTAGGAAAGCTGGAGGAGCATTCCCACCTCTTGGGAACAGGGGACGCTTTGGAACTCTCAGGAAAGCTGGAGGAGCATTCCCAGGGTGGGAATAGGAGAAGCTTTGGAAGCTTCAGAAAAGCTGAGGGAGTATCCCCAACCCTTGGGAGCAGGGCAAGTGCCATCTGGAATTCCTGGAGTCTACTTGGAACGGTGTAGCCGCAGTCTGGGGGTTTAAATCCCTGGGAGTGGCTTTGGCACAGCCTTTTCCATGTTTTCCCAGGGCCACTCAGACCAGGATCATCTCCAGGAGGCACTTGGTGCCTTTCCTGCTTTCTGGAGCAGGGAAGGCCAGGCTGGAGCCTGCCTTGCTCCCAAATCTTGGCGGGATGAGGATGCTGGATCCCAGCCCGACCCGTCTGGACACACCATTGTCTCCCGTTCCCTTCCAGATTGCCCGGGATTTCAATCCCAACTGGATGAGTGCCGTGGAGATCCTGGATGACGACAATTTCCTGGGAGCAGAGAACGCCTTCAACCTGTTTGTGTGCCAGAAGGACAGGTGGGTTGGGCTGGCATGGCATGGTATGGAACCCTCGGGAATGCTGAGGGAACATTCCTAGCTCCTCCTGGAGCAGGGGAAGCTTTGGAAAACCTTCAGGAAAGCTGGAGGAGAGCACTCCCAGCTCTGGAAAGCAGTGGGGTGGGAGCAGGGGAAGCTTTGGAGCATTCCCAGCTCTTGGGAGCAGGGGAGGCTTTGGAACCTTCACAAAAGCTGGAGGAGCATTCCCAGGGTGGAAATAGGAAAAGCTTTGGAACCCTCAGGAAAGCTGGGGGAGCATCCATGGGGTGGGAACAGGAGAAGCTTTGAAACCTTGAGGAAAGCTGGGGGGGAGCATTCCCACCTCTTTGGAGCAGGGGAAGCTCTGGAGTCCCCCCATCCTGAGTGTTTGGAATTCCAGCGCGGCCACAACGGACGAGGAGCGGCAGCACCTGCAGGAAGTGGGATTATCCCACCTTGGGGAATTCGTCAACGTCTTCTGCCACGGATCCCTGGTCATGCAAAACCTGGGAGAGACTTCCACGCCCACCCAGGGCTCTGTCCTCTTCGGCACCGTCAACGGGATGATCGGTGAGGAGCATCCCCGGGGAATCCTGGAATGGGTCGGGCGGGAAGGGACCTGAAAGCCCATCCAATTCCGAGTATTCCCGGTGTTCCCATTGCAGGGCTGGTGACGTCGCTGTCGGAGAGTTGGTACAACCTGCTCCTGGACATGCAGAACAGGCTCAACAAAGTCATCAAGAGTGTGGGGAAGATTGAGCATTCCTTATATCCTTTGGGATTCCAGCCCGGAACCTGCTCCGGGGGGGGATCGCTCGGTGGGATCAGGTTTGGGCAGCTGTGGAATTAAGGTTGGATAAACCCTCTGAGGTGAGGGGGTGCAGCCATTAACCCAGCACTGCCACGGGCACCACCAAGGAGTTATTCCCTGGGGATTTGGCTCCTTGACGGATCTGGCACCTGGAGGTCGTTTCACACGGAGCGGAAGACGGAGCCAGCCACGGGATTCATCGATGGGGACCTGATTGAGAGTTTCCTGGATATCAGCAGGCCCAAGATGCAGGAAGTGGTGGCAAACCTGCAGGTGAGTTCGGGAACGTGGCCTTGGGGTCAGGAATCCAGGCTCGGTAAGTCACGGAATCGTAGATCCATGGAAAGCTTTGGGTTAAAAGGGACCCCCCGAGCCCGTCCAGCTCCAGCTCTGACACCTATCCCAGGTTGCTCCAACCTGGCCTGGAGCACTTCCAGGGGTAGGGAGGCCACAGCCTCCCTGGGAAACCCTAAATCCACACCTTCCTGGGTGGTCTGGGAACGCCTCCGATGCCTTTCCCTTCCCGCGCAGATCGACGACGGCAGCGGGATGAAGCGGGAAGCCACCGTGGATGACCTGATCAAGATCGTGGAGGAGCTCACCCGGATCCATTAGCAGGATTCGGGATCATTCCCTCCCCCCAGAGCCGGGGAATCCTTCCCCAGCCGTGCCCAACACCGGAGGGGCTGGAATCTCCCAAGGAAGAGCAGCTTGTTAGGAATTTGGGGGGCTGTCGGTCGCTTCCCGCTGGGATTCATGGATTCTGTGGACTCGGCTGTGCCTGGAACTGTCCCTTCCCTTGGGTGATCCACTGGGATGCGATTCCCTCTTCCCTGGTATCTTTGGTAGATTTGACTCATTTTTTTGGCTTTTGATCCCTTTTTTTTTTTTTTCTTTTTTTGGATTCCTTGTGTTTTATTGGAAGAGGAGTCGAAGCTGGAGGAGCAGCCGAGCGGGATAACTTTCCACAGGATCCATTCCTCGCTCAGGGAGGGAATTCTGGGAAGCTCAAACTCTTGTTGATTGCGGAGTTTTACCAAATAAAGTAGTCCAAGAGGAAAGATCCGTGTCCTGAGGAATCACAGCCGTGACCTCGCCTGGGGGACCTTGGGAACCCCTGTTTCCCAAGTGCATTTTTCTGAGATTTGTAGGGAATTTTAGCTCCTTGCCCGGTTGCCAGCAGCACTGGGAATTCCCTGAGAGGCAGATTTTTGGCTCACTTTTTAGGGAAACCCGGATTTTCCATCCTCTGGCTGCTCATTAGTAATCTTCCTCCTGCTTTCCCACCTTCTTCCTCATGGAATTTGGGGGTTATCCTGGAGCTTGCCATGCTCTCCCCAGCCTGGATCTCCCCATAACTCCAGGTTAACCCCTGCAAATCCCATTCTGGGCAGGTTTTCCCCAAATCCTTCTCTCCCTGAGCTCCAGCTCGTGCTGGAAGCATCCCTGGCTCCCACTTCCATCCTGGATTCTCCAAGGAGGCCACAGGGAGAAGGCTATATTTGGACATCTCTTCCCGGAGCTGGAGGGAGCAGGAGCTGACCCTGGACTCTGTTCCTGGTTTTATTCCCTCAGGCTTTGTTTACCTGCCTGGAGCAGCTTGTTCCCAAAATCTGGGAGGCCCAGGGGGCGGATCTTTGAAGTGCTATCCCTTTCCCAGCAAAACTGGTGCCAATGGAATGCTGGCACCCTCCTTTTTTGGGGCATAAAAGTGCTGCATGCGCCGGGGCTGGATCAGGATTTATCCCTTTCCAGGACCATGGAGCCGCTTCCAGGGCCAGGAGCTGGGATTTGGGATCACATTCCTCTAGGAAAGGACCTTGCCGTGGCAGCACCGTGGCTCCTGCATCCCTTATTCCAGCAGGGACCCCCTCCCAGCAGCTCCAGTCAGGAATTGCTGTGTCTTGCCTGGGTGATCCTGACCCTTGGGCAGGGTTGTGAGGGAAAATCCATGCTGAATTGGGAATTTTGGAGGCCACAGTGCCCTTTGCTCCCCGGGATCAATCATTTACCTGCCTGTGACCTTTGCTTCATTCCCAGCTCCAGGATGGGATGAGGGGCAGGGGGGAGTTGGATGAGAGCCTGAAATGGGGGGTCCCACAGCCCCCCTCTCCCTTTGGGATGCATCCCACTATCCCAGCTCCGCTTTGGCCCCTTTATCCGCCGTGTGCAGGGCTGGGAAGGCCTCCAGGAGAAGGAGGAGGAGGAGGAGGGGTGGGAAGAGGCCAGGCCGGAGCTTTGCCAGATGTGGGAAAGGAGGGAAAAGGGGGATACGTTCCCTGTTGCTTCCCAACGCCTTGGGGACCCCCTTCCCTATCCCGGAGCCACCGCGGGAATGTCTGGGCTGACTCCACTCATCCCGGGCGAGCGGGACAAAGTCGGGATGATCCCGGAGCCGCCGTGGGTTTGGGGGGTGGGTGGGAGCCGCTGGCGCCGCTCCCGCCCCGCTCCAATCCCCGCTCCAATCCCGCGCCGATCCCGCATTGTTCCCGGCTCGGCGGGAGGAGGAGGAGCAGGGCCGAGGGCCAGCGGGAAGGGAGGCGGGAAGGCGGGAGCCGGGAAGTGCTGGAGCCGCCTGTCATGTTGGTGGAGCTGCTCTTCCAGGCTGCCTGTGTGTCCCTGCTCCTCTCCAGTGGCCAGGCCAGGGGGTATCCCGGGAGGAAGAAGCCGGGAAGCTTTGCCGTGGAGAGGTAGAGCTGTGTCCCCCCCTCCCCTTTTCCTGATCCCTTTTCCAGCTACACCTGGGATGGGCAGCGTCCCGAGCTCCAGCCATCCCTGCGTTCTGCTGCCTGGACAGGCTGGGACCCCGCAATTCCCTCCCTCTTGCCAGGTCCCAGAGAGCATGACCCTGCTCCCCGCATCCCTGTCCTTCTCCCCGCATCCCTGTCCTGCTCCCCACATCCCTGTCCTGCTCCCCACATCCCTGTCCTGCTCTCCCCACATCCCTGTCCT